GCAGGTTAGTTAGACATCTATCAGGGATGATCTAGATCAGTGTTTCCCAAACAGTATTCCGCAGAATCCCGGGATTCTGTGAAATGAAAATAAGGGTTCTGCAAGAAAATCCCATTACAATCACATTTAATGATTTCAAAAATAACAATTAATATTTAAGCATTTATGAATTTTATTGAAAACAATTTTCATTTGTGTTTGCCACGATAAGTGTCCCTGTGTAATGCCAGCTTAGCCGATGATGTCACTAATCAGCACTGCGCGCGCAGTAAATCAGGGATGTGACTGCCTGTTATATACCACCGTAAATCCCCGTACTCACTCCCAGGGAGCTTGGATCACGTGGGTGACTGAATACGAATATATTAGCGTTGCATCCGACAAAGTTGAAACTTCAGCTGTCAAACCACTTGCTTGAATGGGAGTGCGCAGGCAGTGCTCTCGAAAGATAAAATTTTGTCATTGTCACATAAGCTACAGTTTTGGAACTCATCTGTAGGACAACTGCCAATACAATGCATATTAGTTTTTGAGCTTTATTTTTCCTACACATTAAATGTGATTTTTGTTTTTAAATATGTGCAATTAAACTAAATATTGATCTCATGACCTTGTTTAGCATTTGTTTATTATTATCCTTATTTATTTGTGGTCTACTTTTTCAGCTCCATATATTAGACTGTTATTAGGGGTCCACAAAATTCTTTTGAGTTTAAAAGGGTTCCATGGCCAAATAAAATTGGGAAACACTGGTCTAGATGGCACTGGGTCCTGCTGTGAGGGCAGGGGATTGGACTCAATGACCTCTCAAGGTCCCTTTCAGTTCTAGTGTTCTATGATTCTATGATTCATAACAATGGTATCTTCCAGTCTCTCTTAAATGTGTATCTTACTGGATGTTATATAAATAGTATAATATGCACAGACTGTGCAACTTATTTAATATAAAATTATTACAAGAAGTTTAGTGTTTTCATTTCTCATCTTTTGAGTGTTTGACATCATGTTCCTGGCAATACCACAAGGCAGGTGTTTGTATTCATATGTAGTATAATGTACTACTTATAAAACTACTCATACTCAGACAAAAGGAATACACAGAAATGTAATTGCCTGTTACAACTTACTGACTTCAGTGGGCTTTGGATCAAGCCTAATTACAAAATCAGGGGGGTTTGCAACATCTTAACATAAAACCTTTTTTTGGTGGACCCCAGAAATTCAGACTAACTTATTAAATATCTTCTACTTACTGTGTTTTAAAACATTTGTGCTACAAATTCAAGAATTCAGAGGTATACTGAGTTCAATTGTCATTAAACAAAAATAATATCCTTGTTAGACATTAATACACTACAATGCTCCAAGAGTTGGAAGATTCATCCTGCAGCTGAGAATTTGAGTAGCAACACAGCAATATTTTCTCTTTGTGTCACTCTAACTCCACCATCAGAAAATATAATGTGCCAAATTTATGCCTGATATAATGCCACTAAGGCCAAGTTATAACAGGTGTAAATTCAGCTCAATGTAATGAATCATACTTATAAATGAAAAACAAAAGCACATTAACAGTGAATAAAGAGAATAGAAGGAGATGGTTTTATATACCCATAGTGCAAACTGTAGGACTGTGTACCCTTTTTACAACCCCAAAATCAATTATAACAATCACTGCTTAAGGTTTTAGAAAATACCAGCATAAATACATAGGCTAATGCAAATGAAAGCAGTCAGAAATGTGGCATTTTACCAGTATAAAAAAAATCCACATTTGTATTAAATATACAGAAACTCTAATATTAAATTCTTTGGGGAAAAAAAGTCCCCTCAAATCAGGGAGAGGAAGACTAGCATCCTTCCTCCCTACCTGCTTACCTAGAAGGGAACTACCAAAAGGTCTTTGGAGACTGGCAGGCCTGAGAATGGGTACCAAATCTCACAATGAGAAGCTGGCACAGCATTAGGCATCACTACTTTTCCTACTGATCTGCTTGATCCTCCTTGCCTCTCCGTGACAATGAGAATGGAAGACACCACAATTCTACTTGTCCTCACGCAATCTTGCAAAATTGTCGTGAAAATTTGCCAGACCAAAATTGTCTAACTCTTGATGCTGATAATGAACATTTCATGTTATTTTACTTGCCCACCAAAATTAATAAAGTAACTAAAATAAAATAAAAACAAAATAAAAAACTAGCCCTTTGCAAGAGGACGATAACAATCTTGTATAGTTGTTCGGATGTCTTAAGCAGGCCAAATCAGTTAAGCCTCCTAGGATTACCCATCTAATCAGGTATGCCTAAAAACTGAAAAGAGGACAGGGGAAAAAAAAATTCATTGTGACCCCTATCAAAGGGAAACATATAAATGATGCTAAAGACTGCACGTATGGTATTTTCACCCAAACAATGCATGGTTCCGCCCCCCTGCCAAATTTGCCAATAGCAACACATGCTGCTACAAAAGTAATTATAGTCCTCTCTTTAAAGAATGGAAAAAGACAGAACTAACACACGTGAAATAAAATGCATAAACCAATTTATAACTCTCAATAACAAAGAAGGCAAAAGAGTGAGCTTTCTTTACTGCCCAGTTGGAAGCAATATGCAGGGAAGCTTACTCCGTAGCAACAGCTCATAGGGTGACCAACAACTGTACTCAGTAACAGACACACACAAATCCTAAAATAGCTGCAAGTTGCTGCAGTAGGGGCATGCTATTATCCCTCTGGTCTCTGAACAGCCACAGAAAGCACATAGCAGGAACAGAGCTGAAACAGAATTCTTCTAATATAGAATTTTGATACTTTATGGCATTTTACAAAATTAATTCTTTAATACACAGAAATTGCTTTACAAGGCTTCTGGAAGTTTTTGGAGAACAAATACTAATTTTACTTTATCATGCAGAATGAGATTATGCAATTGTGTAGTTCCCTATTGGCCAAAATGCTAGGACCAAAATCTGCTCTGTTCCACCCATGCAACTTCACTGACATCATAGGGCAGAACCTGGTCCCTAAGTTATATTACAAACTCTGCCCATTCTTCAGATATTATGCAATTCTGAAAAACTGTTCAGAAAAAACATTAAATTCCTTTAACTATTTGCTCATCTGCTTTAATATTTACTAAAGCTTTGACAGAAAATGCTGACTATTCTACAGCTATCATGATAAAAATAATGAAAGCTTTAAGACATGACTGCAATAATACAAAATGGTTCTTAAACACAATATCATTAGAAACATCAGAGCCTGCATGTATCAGTCGTTTTACCGAAATATAAACTGGTTTTTTTAAGCAGCACATAGGTTAAATCTCAATTTTACCCAAGAATGTCACCAACATTTATATTTAATAACACTAAATAACACAAACAGAAAAATGAGTATGTTTTTCAGATGTTAATTTCCTGAGATTTTGGAAATCATCCCAATATATTTACGTATGTATTTTAAATTATATGTTGTCCCTTCTTGGCACGTGGGCAAGCAACTATCTTTTTATTATTAATGGAAATAACTTGAATAGTAATCACTTCCTTCAGAATATTGTAGTTCAAATGACACTGTAGAGGTCCCCTGTATTATGCATTCCCATATTCGTGTCTTCTTACCTGATACCACTTATTGTTCAAACAACCTCCCAAATAACACATTCAAAGCACCATCACGCTTCACCTTTCCAAGCCCCCAATTACTGTATGACTCATTACCTATATTTAGCATTCTCATTTGTATATCCCTGTGTCACACAGCAGATTGCTGCTATATTTGTAGTTGGTGCCAGCACTCCTGTGCCACAGAAGTTGCCCCCATTTAACCGAGTAAGAGGCAGATGCAGCACCTAGGCACTATAAAGGACCAGGGAGGAACCCAGTGAGAAGACCTCCCAGAGGGTCAGAGCACACTGGTTTAGTCAAGGAGGGCAAGTTAGACCAGGAGACTGGAGGAATCTCAGAAGTGCTAAATGTTGTTTCTAAGAAAAGTCAAGAGAACATCACAGTTTGCTTATTGGCATTTGTGAGCCAGAGCTGGAGAGGGCTGAAGACAAGATGAGCAGCAGATGGAGTTGCCTATTAACTCTAAGCGACAGCTGAAATTGAGGGCCAGAAAGGGCTGAAGGAAGGGGAGTAGCAGAGGAGCTTACCCACTGACATCTCCAGGGTCAGAGAGCCAGAACCATGACAGAGCTAGAGGGAGTGAGGAATGCTTCCAGCACAGAGGCTGACAAGAGCGAAATTGCACTTCAGTTGGATGGGCTGAAGTTGCTGTTATCAGACTGCCTATTTGGGAATCCTGCTATAGATTATGGTGCTATAATAAACTAGTCCCAAGCAGGGGTAATACTGAAAGACAGAAATTGAGTTATTAAGAGGGAACTGAGAGGGAAAACTGAAGCAGGTGTGCCTGTCATGCTATGACCAGACAGACTGTCTGAAAATATATAATACAATATAGTAATACGTGGCTGTGGAGTATAAAACGTTCAATGGCAAGGAATCTGTTATTTGTTTGGCACCATTACTGCAGAGCAGCTTGTACCTGATAGTACTAGATAAATAATACAACCATTCACTACATAAGCAATTGTAGTTATGTGAGTATTGACAGCGTCAGGGCCTTAATGGAGAACATTAAGAATGCAGCTATCAATTCAAATTTACACTCTATGATGCCAAAGGATAAACAAATAGTAATTCTACAATCCATTAAAGACTGGAGGGCAATAGATCTATCAGCATCCACATTATGCCTCCAATTCTTTGACAGAGCAGCCAATTTAATAATAAAAATGAAACCTTAGATTCAGATTCAGTTTATTTTCCTATTTAGAATGTGCATGTATTCATTTGTAATCATAGAAAGTTTGTAATAAATGCTCTCACCCATCACCCATTTGCTTTTCATTGTTTGCTACATTTTTATAAACACTCAGAAAAGAGCAGTCAGCTCAATATATGTCAGGTCTACTCACATATAAAAGACATACCTCAAAACTGACAGGCATGTTGCGCTTTAAGGCAATTTCAAACACTATGCTGATCTCAGATTTGTTTGCATCTTTTTCTTCTTCTGCTTCCTTTCCTGTCTCTCCATTCTGCATCATGCAAAACAAGATAAGCACATTAAAATACTTGCTTTCAGATAAGAGATATGATTTTCCCTTTATTCTTCAATGTCTAGAATATATCTCCACAAAAGCAATCTGCGATAAACTGCAGTATTTTATAATTTGTTTAACCTTAAAGAGATTTAATAATTATCTGCAATTATTTCATAGTACGTATATATTATGGACATATTTAGTGTCACATTTATGAAATAACATAGGGTCCCATGTTCCTTCCAGATGGAAACTGCCTCTGAAGTTCGTTTATTAATTACAGTCACCTGTCTGAACAGCCATTACATTTTTGGTCCTGCAAGTGTTCGTGACTCCCTTTAAATCACACCATATTATGGCTTGAGTGACACATTATCCACCATCCATTTACCTGTAAAATTGACTCAAAACGTAATCATGCTTTATATTTAAGGAAAATGTATGCATTGAGTTATAAAGGATTAATACATAAATAAATAAATAATTTTACAGATTTTTAAGCTGATTGTAATACACTCTGTTCATGCCCATAACAAGACAAAGATCCAAGTCAAACTTTGTCTTTAATCACTGTCTCTTACCATGAATATCCCTTCCAAGTACTAGGCCCACATCTGTATTTCTCTTAAGGTTGAATTCCATGATTTATCCCCACTCTCAAAGGCCACTGGGTTACAGTACTCATCTACCAATAGTAACTTCAGTAGGTCTTGCTGAGTTTTAACCCCTGCTTAGATTTTCACTCCAGGAGCCCATATGAAAATGCAGTGACAGAGAAAAGTCTCTTCCAAATAAAGTATTATTCATCCTTAGGACCATAGCAACAACAAAATAAAACAAAAGGAAGAAAACACAAATGGAAGAAAACACATATATTATCCTATCTATACCTTAGCCTTTCCTTGCACATTCACACGGCTCTATTTGTACCATGCATTCCCCTATATTGGGTTTGGTGAGGCAGACTGCATCTATGCAGTTTCTGCCACTCAGTTCAGTCCCCCAGTCAGTGTTCTTCTGACTCCTCACAAGGCTCAGCTTTTAGGTACTTTCAAACTGTTAGTTTGAAATATTCGACCTGAAAATCCTCAGAGGCTTCAAACAAAGATCTTTTGCCATTTTGTGGATTCTCTTTCTACGTCAGTGGAGGTAAACTTCCAAACATTTACATTATCTGTTCGAGCACCTGCAATTAGGGCTGTCCATAGCCACTGAGTTTGGTTTCTCAAGACCAAAGCAAAATAAAAATTTGTTTAAATAATGGTTTAATGCATACCAGAAAGTTGTAAATTTTAGTCCACAATAGCATGTCATGGCCCATGTGGACACCACTCATGAACAGATATATCTAGTACTCATAAAATTAATACAGATAATACCGACATTTTTCACAATAACTATAAATTCTATTAATAATGTATTAATCCTTTATACATTTAAACTTATGAATGAGAAACACAGTACTAAAATATACCCTTCAGAAGGTCACGAATGTCTACAAACAAGGTCCGAACACTTAACCAGCTTTCCAATTTAAGCTTTAAACCTGCAAATGCTCTTCAATATCTTTAATAAATGCCGGGAAGAAAAAAATCGCTTCTGAGAAAGTTTACAGGCGATGAAAATATTTAGAGAAATGATAAATAATGTCCAGAACAGGTCAATCCTACAGAGAGATCTAGATCAGGTGGGAAGAGAAACTCATGTGAACATTTACAGTATTCAGTACAGCTAAATGCGTGGTCACATAACTGGAACTAAGAATAAAGGACACACATATAGGATAGCAGGATGTATTTTGAAAAGCAGTAACTCAGAAAAGGACTAAGGGAGTCATGGTGGATAATCAACTAAACACGAGCCTACAGCGAGTTGCAGAGGCAAAGAGATCAAATGCAATCCTTGGATATATAATAAGGGGATAATGAATTGAAATAGAGAGGTGTTGCTATCACTGAAGACTGCATTAACAAGACCATTACTGGAATGTTGTGTCCAGTTCCGGGGGCAACATTTTAAAATGGACATTGATAAAAGGGTTCACAAAAGAGCTACAAGCATGATTCATGGTCTAGAAAACCTGATTTTTAGTGACAATTGCCTAATAAATTTGTTGTAACAAGGAGAAAGTAATTAGATGACCAGATATCAGTCTTGAACCACCTATGTGGGGAGAAGATTTCTGATAGTACAAGGCTCTTCAAATCTATCAGTTAAAGGAGGCATAATGAGATCTAATGCATGGGTGCTAAAGCTAAACAAATTCAGACCATAAATAAAGTATACTTATATTTTTTTACCCTGAAGTTAATTAATCATTGGAACAATTTGCCTTGGGTGTAGTAAAATCTTTTAAATTGTGATTGGATGTCTTTCTAAAAGATCTGCTCTAGCTCAGACAAAAGTTTTGGGACTGATGAAGGAATTTCTAGGTAAAATTCTATGGCCTGTGCTATACAGGTCATAAAGGTCCCCTCTGCTCCTTAAAATCTCTGAGTTTATGTTTATTCATCCATGAGGCACAGTAGGGAGCTCAACTGTGAGCACTGTCTTGGCAGAGGCATAAGTAAGACTGTGCATTAGACATTAGGCACAGTTCTCAACACTGAGCAGCAGTAAATCTCAAATTTCCTTCACATCTTCTTTAGCATAAGGAAGACAAAATGCACAAGGGTAAGGTCATTTATGAATTACGGGACTAAGGATCCATGGGTTTAAATATAATCTTCATCATCGTTCTGAGACTCTTAGCTATGCATTTGTTTCTTAGCCCTCACTTCGGTTAGTTGGCAGGGGTAATTTGGCAGCCACACAATAGTTCTTTCAGGTTCAGATTCCTGTATATTCCCTATCCTTAGGGTGACCATATTTCCCCATGCCACTTACAGGACACCAAGGGGTGGCTGCTGGTGTTTGGGGCTTCAGTCCGGGGGAGGGGGGCATGGAGCACTCAGGGCTACAGCCCTACAGTGGGGGAGAAGGAGAGGGACAGCACTCAGGGCTTCAGTCCTGCAAACAGGTGTGGGCGCTGGCCGTTGGGGCTCCATTTAAATTTTATTAGTCACTGTGCTGTACACTGTATTCTCTCAAAGATTAGTCTAAGTTAGGGCTACACATCACAGTTCAAATGCACAAACACCAGATGGAACTGACTCATTGGTTTCTATTTGTCACAGTTCAGGACATCTGCACTTGTATTTCCCCTCAGTGGTCCAGCAAGACACCATTTTGAGGCTTCCAGCTTTCCAGCCATTATGTCTCTTGGGTGGAGAAAACATATCCCTTTTCCTTATGGATATTTCCAAGCTGCACAGTTCCCTGCCCAAGGTCACCTTCTTGATTTTTCTTTACAGATAGCTGACAGATGTAATAGCTATGGTTATAAGGTACCAACATTACTTCCCATGCAAGTCTAATTTATTCTTAAGATACAATGCACTAAAAAAAACATATCCAAAACAATACAAGGATCTACACGTATGCTAGCAAGCTTATCAGAGTTCACCCCAATCCTAACATGGATTCTGGCATGCATCTTCACAAAAGGGGGGAATTTCTTGTGGTTACTCATTCATGACAGCTGAGCTTCAGCTCTGAACAAGCACCATACCCTTCCAACCCTACCTTAGGGAGCGGGGCCCTCTGTGGACCAGAGGACCTGTCTGCTGGATCAGAAAGATGGCCCTAAGGCAGTTTAAAACCAGGCTCTTTATCCACACCCCCTTCTTTGTCAGTTAGTTCAAACTGGATTCTCCACATTCATATCTCTACATGGAGATGGCTTCAAAAGGTTGATAACGCTGGAGTTCATTTGTCATCCCCCAACCCTACTAGAGAAGGTACATTTAGTGCCACAGTAACATATACTCAATTGCATTGTTAATACCCGAAATATATTAACCTTAATTCAATAAGGTTTAAATTGAGTCAATAAGTTTTATCTGAATTCCATAACATTTATACAGGAGATTACAAGGCACTGTCAGTTTGTCACAGTATTTAATTAGCAATGCCTATTATCACTCTATTTATAAGTAGATCATACTGTGAGGATGATGCAGAAAGTTTCCAGGTATACAAGTTACACCAAATCTAAGAAGTATCACTGTTAGTTGTGAAGGGAGATATTTGACCATTCAGATGGCTGCAGAAATTCAGCTCTCAGATGGAAAAGAAACATAATGGAAGAGTCAGATCATTTTTGCTTATAATAAAACAAATTAAAAAGAGCAAAAATTTATTTTAAAACTTGAGATGTTCGTACAAGCCTTCCAGATGATAGTTATTCAGCTATTAGACAGGTTTGTATTCACATTATAAAACAATATTCATGTTTTCATTCTTGAACACAGTTCCTTCAGCACATTTGAACAGGATTCACAATGATCAAGTTCTAGCTATCTGTGCACCTCACAGCTAATGTATTATCCTCCCAACACCCCATGTGAGGTAAAAAAGTACCATTTATCCTTGTTTTGCAGATACAGAAAGGGTAAGTTAAGTACCAGAAGTCACCGAAGAACTCTGAGGCAGAGAAGAGATCTGACTCCAAGTCTCATAAGTTCTAGGATAGTCCTCTAACCGCTGCAACATCCTTTCTCTCTTTGAATTTAGATACTTAATTAATGACACCCTCAGTTTTCATTTTACATCTCATATTTGTGGTATATATTCAGTCAAGCTAAGGCCTGGCTCCCTGTTTATTGCACCTGAAAAAGTACAATGCAAGTCCAAATCTATGTAACTACTACCAACTACCTGATTTGTGCTCACAGGTCTATTATGGATTCAAACTGCATTCCCAAAGGAAAAGTTTCCCTTCTGAAAATACGCTCCTTCCTGTCTAACTAGAAAGTTGGCTAAGTTTAAATGTCTGCTTTGTAGCAGAGGGTGAAGATGATGAGGTTTCTCTAAATAAGTTAGATCTGGATAGACACAGAACAATGTGGAAAACCTAACCAAAGTTGCAGTTAGGAGTCTCAGATTTGTACAATCACAGCTTTTCCTCTGAAGCCTGGACGTCCTTAGGGACCTGGTAAAATGATGCTGTGATATTCTCATGATTTGAACATTCAGTTTAATTTGAGATCCTATTGCTTTTGTTGAGTAAATAATTAACTTTTCAAGTTTCACATATAAAGACCATGAAGAAATGAGCATCTAAACAAAACTACCAATATAATTTACTTCCCGCAGTTACTTATTATTATATATACTTGGATGATAGCAGTTTACTTTGTGGGACATCAGAAACTAAATTATGTTAACAAACATGATCACTGGCACATGAAGTATAAGCAACATTTTCCTGTCCTCATTAACGGATATCTTGAATTCAAGAACTCTCCCTGAAAAAAATAATACTAAAACTAAAAACAAAAAAACAGTATAGAACTAAAATATATATCTGATTAGTCAAACTTCACAGCTCTTTTTCTAAAGACAGCATTTAGTGCTTCAAAAGACATAATAGAAGACGAGAAAGAAAAGGAAAGGCGATATTTTCCTACGATCTTAATTCTCTTAAATTCGCCTTCTGTTTTAAAAACTCCTTACCAGACCTCTTGAATGACTTAAAGTAAATAATATTTCCCCTGATTCAGAAAAGGAATGATGCTATAACTAAAGGGGGGAGTAAAATTTTCTTTCACCCACAATGAAGACTATTCAGGTATGGTTTGGGAGTAGCCAGAGAAATAAAAGTTGCATAATTATTCTTTTTAATAAACAGCATCATTTCATTCTTAAATTATAGCTTAAAACAAACAAAAAATTCCAGGTATTTTCAGTTATGTTTTTTAGATTATTGCTCTGCACAGGATCTCAATAGGTATTGCCAAAGAGGGAGTGCACTGAGGGCATTTTGTGTCTTCCAGGTATGTGCATTCTGGCTCAAATCACTCAGCAATTTTATTGTTATAAACCTTTTCATTTGCAAAGTTACTTGTGAGACATCTCTATTTATTTATTTATTTATTTAGCTTATATATTCTTCAAAAGTGTTGGAATATTTTCATTTCTAATGTAATATTGATCCTTACAAATGCACACAGAAGAAAGCTAATGATCTATCAAGGGACTATCAAACTGAAAGCCTTAAAACCATCAGACAGGTGTTCAACAGTCTATTTAAAGTGCACTAGTCATGATCTCAGTGAGGTTCCCGATGCAGAGACATTCACTTCAAAAATAAACATCACCATTTGGCAATCTTGCTTTTACTTTAAAAATATCAGAATATATTATTAACTTCTTAGGACAGAGACCAGTCTTTGTAGTCTCTAAAACACGGTCATGGCACTATATATATATCTATTGGTAATAATTAATTCTCAGTGAGGACCAAGATTAAATAGGCATTTAATGCACTTTTGGGGATGACCAAAAATGGCTTTCTACTTTGCTTCTTAGCAACTCTTGACAATTTTTGCATTTTACCTTAGAAGAATTGTCGATTGTCACAAGTCTTTTATATAGGCATGTAGAACTAGATAAACTGACTTTTGACAATTATCTCTGAATACTAACCACCTGCTTTCTATATTGATCAGCTGCTACCATTTCTATGGTGATTAGGAAAAAATAACCAGCTAGTAAATTCAACACTATAAAAATTGTGTTAACAGAACCATGCTAACAGAGTCCTGCCCATTTTAGGGATGTTAAATAGCGGTTAACTGGCTAATTGAGTAGTCGATGGGATTTCCATCGACTACTAAATTAGTCGCTAAGGAGAGTCAGTGTCAGTGCTCATTCCCAAGCTTGTGCTGGTTCTCAACCTCCTGCTGCCGCTCTGCATTTTAAAAGGGAAGCCGGCAGGCGAGGACACTGGCTGAATCCCTGTTCCTGGATCTCAGCAAAAACATCCCCTACCCCGCTACTTTGCATTTTTAAAGGGAAGCTGGCGGGCAAGGGTACTGGATGAATCCCTGGTCCTGGATCTCAGCACTCGCGCCAGCTTGCCTTTAAAAATACAGAGTGACGATGAACTGGGGGGGGGGGTGTTTGTGCAGCACCCTGGGAACAGGGATTCAGCCAGCGTCCTCTCCTGCCGGCTTCCCTTTAAAAATGCAGAGACCACTGACACAAAGAAAAATCATTCGGCGGCCACACACTACAGGTTGCACCTCTGAAAACCAGCATTTTCCGATCCAGCAACATCTGTGGTGCTGCAGGACCACAGATGCTGCTGTACCAGAGTGCATGAGAGCCCAATGGCAAGAGGACCAGCAGCCTGGCCAGGGCCGGGGGACAGCAGGGCCAGAGTCCCATAGCAATGCTGGGGCCAAGGACAGAGAACCCTGGCTGCCCGTGGCAGGTCAGAGCTGAGGAATCTTGGCCACCCGCAGAGGCACTAAGTCAGGGGGGCTGGAGAACCCCAACCACCTGCAGAAGTATAGGGGTGGGGGCTGGAGAAGTCTGGCTGCAGCGTGGAGCCAGGAAACATGGCCGCCTGTGACAGAGTGGAGTCGGGGGATCAGAGAAGCCCAACAGCATGCAGAAACATGATGCTGAAGAACCCTGGCCCTGGGGGAGTGGGAGAGGGGCACCAAAGCAGGGACGCTCGCAGCTGGCCTAAAGCACTAGGGCTGGCTTACCCTGCTGCAGAGGGGAAAGAGAAACCCTGAGTCTCACTGCCAGCCAGATCAAGGAAAGCCAAGGGCTGGATCTGGCCCAATATCCATAAATTTCCCACTGCTGTTCTAGACTATAAAACTTCATGAGTTTTTCATCATATGTGTAATAGGAACCTTCATATTCTCATCACTTGCTTTTTAACATGTTATTTTTAAAGTTTTCATTCACAGATTGAAATTACATCCTATTTCTAGCATTTTAAAAAATATGTAAAATATGTTCTGTGCACGTAAAAACTCCTGAGCGATGACTGCTTGAAAGAGAGAGAGAATTCTGAAAAAATCCATTGAGCTGGTTTTTTCCACAACCTTCTGATGACATGAACATCCAAATCTGGGATTTGAGTATTGAAGTTTGACAACAAGGCTCAGTAAGTTTTTCAATCACAAACCTGAGGTAATTTTTCTGGGATAGGTTCATTCTGGAGAGCTTGTAGGGCCTTCATTGCAGCATTGTGTCTAGCAGCTTGACGAGTCTTTCCTTCACCAATAAACTCACTGTTGCCAACAGTCAATTGGACATAGAAAATCTTAGGCACTGGGCAGTGATACCTGTGAAGTAATAAAGGAAATGTTAATTCCTTGTTATAGGTTAAAATACACAATACAATTTATGAAAATTGCATGTGATTTTTATTTAAGCTATAGTGGCAACTAAAAAAAGACAATGTGCTTTTTTGGTCAGAGTAAAGGATATAAGAACCAAATATATTATACATGTCTCAGTCATCCCACCAAAAATCCGACTTGCAACTCAAACATGTTATTTATAACTTTAACTGAATAGTTAAATGGACCTGAAACAAGGTGCATTGTCCCTTTAAGGCAGATCACATGATCCATACTGCCCTCTTTCTGGCTTCAGCCCAAAGTAATGCTGGGAGCAATAGTTGCTGGGTCTATGCTATTCAGAGCCTCCAATGCAAGGCATGTTGGGGTTCATAAAAGTAGTTCCCTTTCCTCCCAGGGTTAGAGAGATATGGAAAGAGCAAGATCATTGGGTCTATCCAATAAGGACCCTGGATGGAGTGTGGGTAAGCTGCAGTTATTGATGAAGCTATAGCGAGTGCTGGAAAGCAGGAAAAGAAAACTTGGGAAGGAAGCACTGACATTGAGTCTGTGTGTTAGAGATCACAGAGAAGGTGAAGAACTTTAAGAAGTGAAGGAAGATATCTTAGATAAGGAAGCATGAATAAATTGGGATTTTAACAAGATACTTGCATACTTTTTTTTTAAAGCTCAAAATCATAGCTTCTTGCAGAGGGGGTGAGACGCTCTGCTCCATTCCCATAGTATCTGATGTTCCCCAAGTACTAAATCTAGAAATAATAATCACCATCTCTTCCTTCCTTTTCAGGGTATGTCTACACTACCCCGCTAGTTCGAACTAGCGGGGGTAATGTAGTCATCCGTAGTTGCAAATGAAGCCCGGGATTTGAATTTCCCGGGCTTCATTTGCATGAAGCCGGCCGGCGCCATTTTTAAATGCCGGCTAGTTCGGACCCCGTG